TCTACCTCTCGAAGCCCAGCACCAATCCCACGCATTCTGGCCGCCCGCCGCATCGGGGGACGGGGGGCCAAATGTTCCTTGTGGTTCAGAATATTCACATCTTGGGACAACTTCCTGATTTGTCCTCTGTCGATTGTCGATACAGAGTTGGTTGCACGTCTTCTCGCTTCAAGAGAGCTTGGTGACAACGGATGGATGTTTACGTGTGGCATCTTCCGTTGAGAACTGAAAACTAGGGCAATGAGGCTGGACGTCGAACAGCTACTGGATAGGCTAGAGGCTAGCCACGGCGACGAGAATAACAAACGAATCTGTGTTGCCTATGTGACCTGGTGCTGCTGCAATTATTATTCCTGGTGCCGATGCCAGGGGCACAGAACACAGAGAGAGCGACACAACCCAACTTCAAAGGCGTTTTCATGTCTGTCAGAATCACATACTCCGTAATGGATTCCTGTAGCTTTTACACGACGTCGATGTTTACTCGATTGGTGTCTGCCAAACGTGTAACGAATCACAAATCACACATACCAGTTTGTATGTGGCGTGTGCAGTAAGCTGTGGATTGCACAAGGTTGCATGGCAGCGACAGCAAGTGAGTAAATTTCAAATGAGTACACTTTCATTTCTTGAGGAAATAACTTGCATGTACAGCAGTATGCATACGCGCATACATCACTGAAAGACTCGAGACTACAATGCCTGCAATGCAACGGGATTGCGGGATTGCGGGATTAGCGAAATTACACCACTTTGCCTCCCGAACCGGCACCTTTTCAGCCGCATAGCAGCGATGGAAATACACACGTGTGCATGTATATCACACATAGGAACACGGCCTCGTGCTGGGCAAGCAATTCCAGAGCCCAAGAGCTTACCGCCGCATCCAAACATGCTGGCCGGGCGTGCAATGCCTCCATCACCACCGAAGGCAAACGCAGCCACGGCGGGCGGCGGCAGCTCAACCCCACGAGCAATGGGTGTTGGACACCGCACTCCGCAGGGGAAAAGGTAGAGAGTTGTTGGTGGTTCCGTTGATATTTCCTGGCCGTACACTGCACAGCTGCACAGCTATGAGCCACCGACTACTTCCATAGGGTGTATGGTATAAGTGATTGTGTCCGACAGCCTCAGCTAGGTGCGTGAAAAGAAGAAAGTGATGAGATTTGGGGGCAATGTGGCGATGTACTAGCGGCAAGGCACACAGCGAGCGGTGATCGCTTGCTCCGAGGACCAGACAGTGTTGAAAGACTCACATGTCGGATAACAGGTGACCAGTGAGACCGATTGCCTTCACTGCTGTAACACCTTTTTTCCACTATGTGACACGTCTGCTAAATCATGAAGATCACTTTCATACCAGTATGGAGTTCTGCTCTCCTGATGGTAACAGTTAGTACAGTCCAAAGGGGCTACAACATGGACAGCATCTCCGGCGCACACGCATACCCCCGATATTTGCGTATCGCACCGTTACGGCAACTCATCATGTCTGAACGCTTCTTCTGCAGGTGCCCGATAGTTCGGCGTACCGTTCATATGGTGATACATGTCCGACGTTACCCTTCCACATTTTACAGGGGAAAACACAATTCTCATTCAATGCCTGAACTCGGGCAGGCAGAAGGGCCCATCCATGCAGAAAACCAGAAAAAGTGTAGACAATAATAAGCCATTTTTCAAGGCAGTACAACAGAGTGAGTTTTTTCTCACCAATTAAATCCTGGTCTCCGTTGGAAGCGATGCGCTGCAAAGTGCGTTGATAGTAAACTTGATCGACTTCATAAGTCGTGAGCGAAGGGATTGCTGTACCCTTCCCGCGATAGAAATATCTCAGGCAGGAAACGCAGGAGGGGGTCCAACCTCCCCCTCCTGTGTGACCCCGGTTGGGTCGTATAGCTAGTAGAAGTGGAGGATATGCGCCAGAGGGGCAGTCGACAGAATCCAATGATGGAAAAAAAAAAAAACGGCACGCGGACCTCTAATCACCTCATGTGCCAGCCGTGCGGTTTTTGTGTTGAGGATGATGGTTTACTCAGCGAAATGGCTGCTTATGTGCGTGTTCTGTCTTTGGACTTTTTGTCATCAGCGACCCTGGGCGCTCGATGGGCGCAGGATGCGGAGGTCCGTCAACCTTGGGAGGAGGAGGAGAAGTAGGAGGTCGAGGAAAGACGGCATCAAAGCCTAAATCCGACTGGAAAAAATGCTGGTACGTTCTGCTGCAGCTAGGATTATCCATTTGTAGTCAAGTGCCACAGCCTGTATCCCATCCCGGTTAGAACAGTCTGCATGGCATAGGGTTATTCGTCGACATCTTCTCCATGAAAGGCGAGCACCCCTGCTGCACACGCTTAAAAATCTCTGCGAAACAACACACACATCGCCGAAATACTACAGCAGTGCATTGTGGCAACATCCCATACTCCCCGGCACTGGTCCTCGAGTTTGACGAGAGCATGATGGCGAACCACTTTATCGCCGCCTCTCCGCTGCCAGCTAAATCATCGTGCTCGACGCCTCTAGCCTACACCAGTGGAACAGAGAAGATAAGTGTGTCGGCTGCTGTGCTACTATCAACTCGCTCGACTTTTAAGGTCGTGCACACTAAAGATGCCTCTTATGTAGAGGCATGTGAGCTCCTCCTCGATGAGTTGAGTATTTCTTTCTCGTTGCATTTTCGCAGGGACTACAAGCAAGCCGCCACCTACTACAAGCATGTCCACACGAAAGAGAGCCGATGGGCAAATGCCGAGGACCCGGTACGGCTATTGTAATGATTTTCATTGATGGTGTATGTAGTGATGCGATCCATGTAGATTTCAGAAAGGCAGCAGATCCAGCATTCTCGTCGATGCCACGTGCCGAATGCGACAGCCTGGCCATGTGCCACCCTTCGTCCTTCTTCTGACGTTTCGCTTCCTCCCCGTATTCCGAGGTGTATGCAAGCAAACAGTACTTGTTCCAGTGACCCAAAGTTGCGCGCCATTCCTTTTTTTTTTATGTCCACGAGCCACAAACAACCCAACTTCGTGAGATGTCCCATCGGTTGCTGCCTGGTCGCCGTTCAATGTTTCGCTTCCTCCGTGTTCTTGTTGCGGTGGTGCCGGTGTGGCTTGCTGGCGAGAAGGCCTGGATGGAGGCGACGGATCCCGCCAACGGACACATCTTCCTGGAGCACGCTACAACCGGAGAGACGATGTGGAAGGCAGAGCAGCAATACCAGGCGGCCGCTGGAGGGGGGGGAGGGCGGGATTGCGACAAAGGCGCGGGTTCCGGACCGACGAAAGAAAGTGGTGGCAGGTTTGTTGGTGAACCCAGCAGTCCTGCTGCAACTTCTAACAGACAGGTAAGCTCGTTGGGCGGGAGAAATACTATCGATGGTTCCATCCGGCTTGACAGGGCAGTGTGAGTTACGCGCGACGGGGTTGGTATGTCGTGAAACGCGGCATGCAACTCGACGGACGGGTCCAGTAAGCTTACGCGGCAGGAGGATCACACGATCCTCGGTGACTTTTGGGGCCAGAAGTGGGGTTCTCGAATGGACGAGCGTGCAGCCCACATTCTCCTATTTCCCGACATGCATCACGGCACCATCATCGTCCCAACCCGCAACACCGACACCAACCTCAATATCAACAACACTGTGTGTTCGTGTCACTCCCATGCGTCACACTCTCTCGAGAGGTGCTGAGCCCTCCTGCACTAGGAAGTCGAAGTACAACGAGTATTTATCCTCCAGACCTGAACAGAGGGGTTTAAGAGACTCGCTCCAGGGACGGAGTACCGCCACTATCGCCGCCGCCGTGGATGACACCAGTTGTACCAATGAGCCAATGAATTGTCATCTTGTTGTTTACTCTTCCCTTCTTGCTTTCGATCTGAATGCCTTTTTCCTCCCACGTGGCTGGGGCGATGCGAGGGGGAACTAGACGGTATGGGAAGAGATCAAGGAGCCCGGGAGCGGAGTCAGCTACTACTTCTCTTCGGTTTCGCAGTCTTCCCAGTGGCACCCTCCCGTCTGGATGGACTACATTGACACGAAGGTTCTTCAGTTGTGCTGTAGCTTGACCGCGCTTTGGGTTTCCGTACGTTTCATTGATATGAGTTATTTTGTCAGGATTTTGATGAAAAGGTTAAAACAGAACCGGAAAATCTTAGCTGTTTGGAATAGTGACAGGCTATCAAGAGGCGACCACGAGATAAAACACTCCTTAGAACCGGCTGTATTATTTTCTGTTACGCATATGAATACGTTAACGTTTGCCAGATGGCAGCGCTGCAGCGCATCATGTTTAGTGTTGAATCAGCTTCCATCCACTTTCATCCATATCCATCAATGGTCCAAGCTCTCCCGCACAATATAGTGCTTTAGCACCGGGTTACACATCACGCGCACAGCAGTAGCTCAAGCGTAACTCTGCCTATTCTATTGTGTTGCAGGAGAATGTCGTGTACTACGTCAACACAAGAACGAACGAAAGCCTTTGGGAGAAGCCGGCAGGATTCATTGCCGTAGCCACCGAAGAAGATCCCGCCGAGGCAAGCAAGCGTGGAATCACCTTGCATACCAAATTCGTGTGGTGCTCATGCTGACTTATCGCTTGCCAGCAATGTATTGAGTCTAGCGCATTTCGGTCTCCCCACGAACAACATATATTCGATGTGTCAACAGCTACATTCTGGCGGATGCGTTGACGGTTACATATCAGCCGATGACGGTGACGGACCCGCTCTGCTACCTTTGGGTACTGCATGCTCAAATATTTGGGAGCCAAGGCCCTAGCCCCCTTTGTCTCAAGCAATTGGGTGTTCTTCGCCACTTCACATGCTCTCCTAGGTCGACAGTTGTCGTACGTAGCGATCTCCTCCGACATCGCATGTACGTGGCCCCCCACAGCAGCGCCGAATCTCTGCACCATCTCAAAGCTTTGTTTGAACGCATGGCCTAAATCAACAGAACGCTTTCCAAGGAAAATCCGCGGCAGGCACGCAAGGGGTGAGTGCGGCCAGGTCCCGAGCTCCAAGTCCGTCCTGCCAACGACCATCGCTGCCAGGCGGGCGGGGAAGGAACTCCTGTGTCCCCGGTGGCTTGACGGCGGGAAGCTGGAGGGGTTCCGCCCAACGAAGGTGGCACCATCGAACGGTAGTGCCCCAGTGGCACCGAGAAGTTGTTGCGGGCGGGGCGGGGACGCCTCTAGCTAGATCGTTGACTAAGGGTTTAGCGCGCACAATGTCGAGCGCCACGGTTTCACTCGATGGCCTCCCCACGCCGTCCCCCGTTCTCTCGACCTTCACCGATCGCCTGTTTAACCCTTGCACGCTACCATGAACTTCGAATACCTCACCTGCAAGGTTGAGATTACGCGGACTCATTGGATAGGCCGGAAAACGGCGAATTTCTTGATTACAAACGCTCACCACAGAACATCCCCCCCCCCCTCCGCACCCCATTTGCTCTCCAATTCCATTGTAAATCAAGTGGTATCATTGAGCAGCCGCCGCTACCAACACCGCCGACGGTCAAGTCGAAACCCCTCTCTCCACAAAGGTGACTGAGGCAGAAACAGACTCGAGAGTCTACATGTGCAGCACAGCGCAGTGCGTTCCGCTGCAGTCATTTGTCTGAGATTGTACCGTGCAGGACAGGTTAGGCGAAGAGTTTTCGGCTTCAATTGGGTCCGTTTTTCTTCCGTGCATGACCACAAATACGCTTGTGAGAGGTCCAAACACTGCTGTCGAGCCGAAATCTTTCAGTAAACTCCGGCGATCACATACCACCCACCACCCCTCTCTCTCTCTGTCTGACCATCACGTGCAGGTAGGCGTGTTTAATAATCATCCCGGTACTCTAGGGCGGCCTCATGATTTTTCGTGATTGCAACAACGACTCCTAGTTTCGTCCCGCACCACACCAACTTACAGAGCTGCACAAACTCTGGCAAGCTTGTCCGTTTTCTTACCTCTCCCGACAGTGAAAACCAACCCTGCTGCTAATACTCCGCATGCGCGAGTGCGCCAACCTCTCCACGCCTCGAACAACGAACCCACCAGAGACCCCGAATCTCCAAGCGGCGGCAAGGACAACAACATAAGGCCGCCGAAACCACCGGCCCACACCGCCGGGAGTGAGTTTGCACCTCCGCCCGCGCCCCGTGAAAAGGCTCCGGTGCCTCCGGCGGCGCCACCTCCCGTCAGAGGCTTGGCGATGCCAGTCGGGACGGGCGTTGCTTCCAAGGGAGAGGGTGGAGCAACCGCGTTAACGCCATCGATGAAGCCTGTCGTGACGAGGGTTCCCCCTCCTCCGACTACGCCCAAAGATGGATCGCCCGCTGGACGCCGGTACGTGGTGGAGATCGGAACGTAGGGGGGGGGGGAAGACCGAGACGGAGATGGACAGGAGGGAGCATGCATATTCAGGAAAACATTGTGTTTAGGGCTTTTTTTTTCGTATTTTTCGTGGGTTGTAGACGCTGCCCGTTTCCCTGTCGTTTTTCCACCCATGGTACGCTTCCGCACTTCACTGTTCCGCGTTTCTTCGTGCTCCACGCCCTTCATCGTTGAGCACAGCCAAACACGATCAAAGATTATTGGGAGAGTTTGGGTATACACCGCACGACCTTTTGCAACCTTTAACTGGGGCGATCGACGTCGGGCTCCCCCTACTCATTATTTCTGGACCAACCTCATTTGAACACCAAAAGAGTCCCGACCATGGATTGCCTGCAACGGCCGACCTGTTTCGGTGTACAACTACCGATAGCCTCGCACATCACTCGCCCTCCGCCTTCTAAACGCAAGTAAAATATCGACTTCGCTTCTGCGAGGGTGTGATACGACGAAGACATGAGTTTTAAGCTCAGTCTGGCGTTCTCCCGCACAGTAGTTAGTACGGTTGTACAACCCTCGAGACAAGAGTATGACATGCAAAACACGTTTGCGATGGTACCCACGGCTCCTTCATCATCAAGGTCGCCGAGGGGATCTGTGCCTCCACCACCTGTTCCCCCCCCAGCGGAAAGCTTGCCTGCGGCGGTGGAGGACTCGGACGTCTACAGCGGAGATGTAAGTAGACACGGCTATCGTAGAAGCTCGACGTCGGAGACTTGAGCATTTTCCTTCTGGAAAAGTCGCATTACACGGTAAATCATGGAAGTGCAATGAGATGGCGGTCGTGGCATGTTCATTGAATGGCGGCACTTTCTAGCGTGAAGCTGAACGCAGAAATAAATGCGTCCTGTCGAGGAAGAAGGGTTCCAGTTCATGTTAGTTCGCTTGTTTGCCTTCCTTTCGTTGCGTCAGCAACCCCTACGGCCAAGGTTGAGTATCTTTGTCGTTCGGTGTATCCATATGTAGGTTCGGCGAAAAATTCTTCCAAAAGCGTCTGCAAACGCTGCTGAAATGTTTCATGATGAGAAAGTGGCCGCGATTTCACGAGACCATTTTTCCGCCGTTGGGCACAACAATTACAATATGGAAACAAATGACGTAGCCAGCCATGTTTTCGAAGCACCAGATGTTCATGAAAGTATCCTTGTCTTCTCGACGAGCATGGCATGTGGTACGGGGATGCCGACATGAGGCTTGAGGGCAGCAGCGCTTGGTTGCGACGATCGCCCTCAATCCGTCGCCCGCTGGTTGCTTTCATGTTCTCGCCGTAACGAGCAGGAGCATGGTGACGGTGGTAACACAAGCGGTGATGACGAGGACGGAATCGATCTTGAGGCCGGAGTGGCGACGGGGTGAAACGAATTTTCGCACACCGGCAAGTGTCGTGTGAGGGACAAAGAACATGTTGTTGGTTTGTTCGTCGACACATGACGTGAACAGCCGGCCTATGCTGCGGAGGACGTGGGCAGATGGAGAGACTTTCGATCGAAACAGGAGAGGTGGAGAGAGCGAAATAGGTAAAGGAGAGCGAGCGAGAGGGAGCGAGTGAGTGAATGAGTTTGTAGATAGAGAGGGAGAGAGAGACAGGGAGGGAAAGGTGAGAGAACTGTGAATGAGAGCGAGAGCGAGAACACGTAAGGGGGAAAGGGGAGGAGGGAGGGAGGGAGGGAGGGAGGGAGGAAATTGATCAATGAGTGACACAGAGCGAGACGGAGAGGGAGAGAGAGAGAGAGAGAGAGAGAGAGAGAGAGAGAGAGAGAGAGAGAGAG